AATCAAGTTTTAACCCAGGGCGTAAGTATATTACACCTCTTTGTTATTCAGTTGAATACCGCAATAATTAGGCTGAATGAAACAAAACTTGAGCACGGTGGTAGAGTATAACTTCATGTTAGCCAGTTATTTTGATAAAACCCAATGATAAAGTATTACTTACTGAATGGCATCCCTACTTCCTTATTTTTCCCCTAAAATAAAACTATATACTACTGATTGACTGATTGAAATGAGTAGTTGTATACCACCCATATGAACTCATAGTGCCTGCAAAACAGATCGAGGTGGAGCCAAGCTTATCAGTTGTATGTACTCGGTTCGACTCAGCTCAAAGAGCCGAATCAGCTACTTAGGCAAACTGGTGATACCAATCATGGTATTCGAGCAGGTCACATATTGTGGTGATCTGAATAATTTGATATTTCCAAAGGAAACTGTGGGGTGAAAATTTCACCCCTTGCAAAAAAATTTCCAAGCTTTGATTTTTGTCTCCTGAAATCTTTATTCTGTCAAGATTTATCTGTCTTTATATGGCTGGCTATATTCTAATTAAGTAAGTATCAATTGGAATATGTTGTGTTTTCGGCTAACACTTTTGCTTAGACTGATACACTGACTCACAGTCACAATTGAGGGCGGTGACAGTTCTGAAACCATTATACTGTTCGATGGAGAGAAAGGTTAATTATTGAATCTTTGTTTATCAAATCACCACCGAATACATATAACCGGTATGATTCAGCAGCATTGCAGATATCTAGAAAACTCTTTTACCAAAGAAGACAAAAGGAAAAGAAACTGGAAAAAAAATTCTTTAAATTGATTTTGAAGTTGTGTTATGACTATGATTTGATTATGAGTATAAAATTACTTTTTGAACATTATTCAGCAAGTATAACTGTATCAATGAGTGTTATACCTATGATATAATCCTTTGAATGGTGTCATTCAACTTTTTCTGCATAACAGCTATCTAACGCTTTTGACCCTCACTTTCGAAATTAATTCGGCCACAACTTTAACGTTTAGAGTTTAATTAGTCTGAATAAAGTATAATTACATTTCAACAGTTTACACACAATGTGGCTGTGTGTAAACTATTGAAATATAATTATACTTCATTTGATCTATTCCACAATGCTCAAACATTTTACTGACATTAATTTAATTAGTTCATTTTGTAAGTTACCAAATATCTTACAAATCGGATGATATCTTCAAATTTTGATTCTGCACTGAGTAACACGTAAAAAAACAAAGTTATAAATTACTCTCTGTTAAAACAAAGTAGTTTTAAGCACACTTTGAATTATTTTCCACTTCATAAACTAGTCTCATCGGCCAACAACTCTAGATTTCTTCGAAAACTTACCATTTTCGGTCTTTGTGTTCATAAAGACGACGTTTCATAAAATAAGGTTGAGCACTAGTTTTTCCTCTACTAGCAGCTTTGGCAAAACACTTAAAGCGTTGAATGATGTAAGCGGAATGCTGATTTTGTGAATACAAAATCTCCCATAGACCTAGACCGCATACATGATTCAAGTTTTCAACAGAAAGCTGAGTAAGTGTAAATGCTTAGTCACTGTTATGTTTATATTAGCTTATCGATATTTTTGAAATTAAATCTAAAGACGTTTTACTCATTCGGTGTCAACCATTTTTGAATTACCAGTGCATGATGTACACACTAATAAACTAATTGATGTATTCATAAACATGTTTTGCACGCGTATCTGAGACTGATAGTAATACAATACTAAAGAGGCCTGGCATAATATTCAGTCCGCTGTAGAAACAGTGGTTAATGTTATTGATTTCCAGAAAACAGGAGTGGACTTCTGTTGCTTCGTTCGAACTGTTAGACATAATAAGACTGATCCAGGCAGGTTATGGAAATGAAAAAGAACAGAAGCTGTTAAAATGCAAGCTGACTAAAAATACCGTGACAGCTAATGGCTAACATAAGCGAAATAGATAGGAAATGCATCAGAGATATGCAAGACCAAACAACTATTTAGACTGACTTTGAAAGTGGTTGTAAAAAGCTAACGGTAAGTGGAATGATTTCCGAGGAAGACAGTACTTCAATTAACTCTCAAAACTGGGTTCTCGAAGATGATGCTTTCAGGACCAATGTAACTGGAATACAACCATCCTAAACTTGCGTAACATCCAACACCCAATGTGGTGGTGTGATACAATTTGTTCCAACGGAATATTATTCTCACTTTAGGAATCAACGTATTTGTTGGTGTTAACGTCTGAATACTTTTCCCACAGTTCAATGCTGCATTAGCAACAGAATACTATACATGTTGAACATTCTAGTTCATGTCGTTGAATGTAAACCAAAATAACACGCTCAGTGATTGATTAAAGAATATAAACTGTGTAAATATAACTTGCGGTTTGATTAATTGAAAATATACCTTTGCTTCCGTGTCTTGTCTTCTACTATTACACCACTTGAGGAGGATGTAGATTTTAGTCTCACAATTGTAACTGAGGTTGTTAAAGCTGACTCTAATCTAAAACGAAGGGAAACAGCCGAACCTGATGTAATTACCCTAGAAGAGTTTAAGGATGGTGATAATGAATTATTAAAAAGGTTAACTAGGATTGTAGGTGGTATGTTGGGATCTGAGACAGTCCCGCCAGACTGGTGTAAGCCACTGATTACCCTAGTTTATATAATGAGACAAGCCCTCCAGTGATAATCGTAGAGGAATCAGGTGGACTAAGACATTTTCAAAAATTCTTGGTTAACTAATCATTCTCAGACTAAGCGGTGTTCTGAAGAAATCAACTCTTGATTACAAGGCAAACTCTAAGCCCACAGGAGAGTATATTGATCATGTTCCCCCCCTTAGAGACAGTCATTGAAATAAACAAACTTGCCGGCTTCCAGTTCTTTCCACATTGCATGACTTGAAAGGGGTATTTGACTTCGTCGAAGAGGAGGGGCTGTTTCAATGTCTTGCCAAGAATAAAGTGCCTATAAAGTAAATCACACAAATCAAGGCATGCTACTGGGACTCTTGCAGACCTTTAGGGGCCTACGAATGTCGCGCCACAACCATCGTCATCCAAAAACGTTAGTTGACATGGGATTAAACTGTAAAAGAGTTATGGTCGGTCTAATTAAAACACTACATCAACCCAATTAAATCTGAGACACAATGGAAAGTGTACATTGCCTGGTTGGCGAAATAGGGACGCTGAAAATTGATGGATAAAGGCTGATGATGACATAGCTCGAAACCAATCTCATTTTTACAGATGAATACACTCTCTCATTGCTATTCTGATCCTTTCTCTTTTATATCTCCGTTAACTATAGTTCCTTCGCAATTTGCTCTGTTTTCTATTATTCCAGAACATTAGTGTGGTTTTTTTAGTAGGTCAGTTTGAACTTCTGCACCTTTTGAAAATTTATGCCTTGAGAATTCAGTCAGTCAAACCTGACTATGATACTATTTCGTTTCTTATCATTGGCCACATATGGAATTCTGATAAATATAGTTTCGATCTCTTTAATTTTATTTTCCAGGTGTCTGAAATCAGGCATAAAATCTATGTAACAACTCCAGCCGCAATTCAGATAAATTTTGATTTAGTTATTACTACAGAAGACCAGTTGCTCCTTAATCTAACTCTCTAAATCTTTAACATATTGCCCAATGTAGTAGATTAAATGTCATATAAAATACCAACGTTCTCTATTAAATTACGAGAATGAGATGCACTTGAAAATTTTACCTTCTTATTCCTGAAGTTAGCAGTGACTTTATCAGAAAGTTATGGTTCATCACATGTTATAATTTGCGTTTATACTTTTCGAAGTATAATATCATCCTATTACTTCCATTTCCCGGTAGAAACTGATGTAACTGGTTCTAACACCTTTCAACTTATCATGTATGAGCATCTTCTTAATTGACTAGAGCACTACCAGTTTTCTGTTCTGCAGACAAACAAATATAAGGATATAAATTCGGCATTATTTTACAAAGATCCATATACAGGCAAAACAGCGCAACATGGGAAACTTTCCATGATTCAATAATAATATAAACTTAAAAGTATCAACGAGTAGAATTACAACCTCAAACATTTCCATGGCAAATGTTACTTCCGTAACCAATAATTAAACCTTTCAATCATAAATACATGACTTTTAAGGTACTGTTGTCTGACCATAAAGTAACCAAAGTATCAAAAACTCTGATATTCGCTTACTTTTAGGACCACTACTTGAATTGGTAAATGTTAGACGGGCTAACTTCACGTTAAACAAATATGTAGTCTATATCAGGAATGCAACTCTATGAAGATGAAAGACACTTCTCTATCAATCCAGATAAGAGTTTTGTCTATCATTTGGCATGGTTAAAACATGAAGTTAAATCTACTTAAGTAGTTGACGTCAACGAAGTAAATAATGAAAAATCAGGTTTTTAAAAGCGATAATGCATCAGTTCTGGAGGCTTCTATCCTACCTTAGAGATACTCCTCTAGCGAATTTAAACTAACGATGCAAATCCGATCGGATTCACACATTAATATTCTAGTCTGTGTAAGTTAACACTGTTCAAAAGTGATCTGTAGCGGTAAATAATTCCCCAAAATTATTGACCACAGCAATCATCACTGAACATTGGATGCTGACTCTCACTGTTTTAGTCGACTTGTTTAGCTGAAGGCTTACAGTCAAGCATCCATGCCATTTGATACTCCGTCGTGTCACATTCGTACACGATCACTAGCCAGCTAAGCATTCATCTCTGTCTACGATTTGGTCCCGAAATATATCTCGTAGTTTGAACGATCAAATAGTGTCTTTCGCTTTGCTTTTGGTCCACGAGGAACGAACGTCAATACCTTCAGCCTCTAAAGAGCTATGTGATTACTCATAAAGATCATTATCACAAACGAACCATCAGCCAGTTAACCACCATGGTAATAACATACCTGTGTACAACAGAGACCTGATGCTAATTTTTTAAATGATTTATAAGCGTAGGTAAACTGTGATATAACATTCTATTGACACTAATACTGAAAATAAATCGTAATATACATTGTTTATTTATTGTTAATCTGGAAATATTAAGATTTAACATAAAAGCTCCAGCACATCAAATGATAGAAACAAAGAATTAAGTAAAAGGTAATATGATCTGATGCAAACAAAAATGACATACTACAATGTATGAGGAGTTGTATGAAATTATTTTCATCCACACACTACAATAACTTCATGTAATAATAACTGAATTTGAAGTATTGACTAAGGTAAGTACATTTAATTAATATTAAGCTGGTGGCTCAAGTGATAAAATACGTCATATAAACCTAAAATACTATGTGCAACGTAGGCATTAATTTTAGTAGTATTAGGCGACACGACGATTTCTTTTGGATCCAGAAAGGTAAACCACAAGGTGTACCAACAGGATTCCTCCTGTGAGCGTACCATACGTAATACAAAGAGAAATCAATGCGTGAATCCATATATTATAAGGAGCTAGATAGACAAAAAATAATATTGCGAATTAAATTACTAACTTGTGTCGTATCTGATATACTTGGAAGCATTCAGAAGTCCTTCTTCCAAAGTGACAGCATCAGTACTTTTCAAAGCAATGTGAAACAACAATATGAAAGCAAATAACAACATAGTTGATAGTCCAAAACCTTTTGGATTGATAATTAATTTTCACTTGATAAGCGAGGGATAGCAGATGGCCTAACAAAGTACATTAAACTAATGTATTCAAACAAATTGAAGGTCAATTTTATAATAGAAAAATTCCATATTTTGCATGATGTCTGCTACCATGAACACTTTAAATGTATCCTTAAATCATTGCTTTTATTTTCAAGGATTTGATTTGCTTCAACTTTGACGACGGATTGATATATCTGGACATCTGCCCGGTTTCCGTTTGCACTTAATCATTAGTACACAGGGGTTGGGTTTAAAACCCAAGGCATCCCTGTTACAAGTCAAGCGCATAGACCATTCAGCCAATTGGACCTGGCTAAATGGCCCATGGATCCTAACTTTTACCAATTCGTGATATTAGTGTGACCACCCGCAAATACTTGAGGCAAGTATTTGTCCCTACTTAACACTGACTGGACAACACTGATTAAGACTCCTTGCTAGGACTTCAGGTAACTTCTGCCTGTGTACTGCTGATCAGCCCCACACAAGGAAGAAACATTCGTCCAGTGCCTCCTAATCGTCAATTGTTTTCTAATTGATATCTGTCTGTGATCAAACTTGAAGCAGATTACATCCCTACGAACAAACTATCGAAAATTAATCTTATGCTCCCTAGTTAATAACTGCGGAAAGAAGTTGCCTGGAATCCTTTTGATAAGTCTTGACCATTGAATGCCGTAGCGCTTTTCTCGCAATTTGTTCCGAATAGGGTACATCGGAAAGGGCACTATTTTGAATGCGTCACCTGACCTACCATTTCTGTGAGGTGTTTGTGAATACATAGATCCGATTGTGCTGATTGGTCATCTGACTTTCAATATACCAGTCCAAAGGAAGCTCTTGTAGCCCTCTGGTATTTCTTTCCAGGAGATTAGCACAGCATTTTAGCAGTGACTGTTGGGTGTCGTTGTGATATTCTGTATGTGGTGTTGTCTTAGTTTTAAACAACTGCATAAAGTACCCAGGAAAAGATTCTCCCAGCTGCCTACGCATGAAATGCATCACTGTAGTCTCTTTGGCTGTATCTGCTGAGCAGTTGCACTTATGTATTATTTACCACGAATGGCCCAGTTTCACTTTTTGTGGCCCAATTTTTCAGGTAGATCAGGTATTATTACAGTTAGGTAGAGATTTTTCACACCTTATTACACCCGTACATCCTCTGCGAAAATGAGAGATAAACACCAAGGGTTGTTGCACAGCATATTTCATGAAAACCAGTAGTAGCAATCCGCGTAGAATTGCCTCCTGCAATACACCGAAAGTAACCATTCTCATATCAGAGCATACAGAGGCATCGTGTTGAAATATCTAGCCGCGAAGAAAGCTTCAGTCCATTCGCCCATTCCTCTTTAAATTACCTCACATCATTTCCTACCTCGCAAGATTTCTCGCCGCTCACAAGCACAAGAAAAGACGGGAATTGTGCACGAAGCTGGCAACCATACCCGAGAATATTTATACAATCGCTTAAGAAATTTCGAAGCATAAGAAAAATACTGAGAATGCCAAAATATAATAAACTATGTTAGATATGAGGCCAGTGCACTACTCCAGTCATCCAGACAACAACCACGTGCACACAGACCGAGTGACCATCATGATATCATCAACAGCAACCAAAGCTCTTGTGCAATGGCAGACAATCTCCTCCTCCAGGATTATGACAGCAAAATTCAACTCGAAAGGAAGGTAGGAAGGTCACAATCATCCAATGCTACGCACAATGTTATAAACAACTGACAACAAGAGAAGGAAGATATCTATGGACAACTGCAAACAGTAATGGACAACATCCCAAATGGTGACATCAAAATCCTCATGAGTGATATGAATGCCAGCTGAACTGGGAGCAGGAAGAGAAAATACAGAAAGAGAACTCATCATGCGTCGAGAGGCTCTGCCTTGGCGAGATCAATGAGAACGGAGAACTCTCTGCAGACTTCTGCGACTTCAATGATCTGGTGATCGGAGGCAGCGTGTACGAGAACAAGGATATACACAAAGCAACATGGATTTCGACTGAGGGAAACATCAGAAACCAGACAGACTTCATCTCAATAGTCCTCAAGGAAGTGGAGATACAGCCTGCTGGATACAAAGTCGAGAAGGGGAACCTTCAAGGCCAAACTGAAATCCTTCAAAACATCTGGAGACAGACCACACCTCAAGTTCAACACTCAGCCAGAACAGATACCTTCATGGCTGCCATCGGAGAAAATTCGATGTTAATAGGTGGCATCATTGAGGAGGCCTGCATGAAGAACATTGGAACTCTCTGAAGGTGATGTTCAGTGAAACATGTACAACTGTTTTAGGAAGAAAGAAGAGGTGAGACAGGTAATGGCTCTCATAGAAGTGAGGAGGATGGTGAAAGAGAAGATGACTCAATGCAATGATGGACAACAGAAGGAGAAGCTGAGTTCAATGTACACTGCACTGAATCAAGAAAGGAATGCAGAAGAGTGTTAGGAAAGACGAAAGACAATTCAACGACACACTGGCCGGCGACTGAAGTAGAACAGGAAGGCTGCAAGTAAAAAAGACCCCAGAAAGTTATATCAGATAACCAGGTCTCCATCCGGGAAGAGATCCACCCAAATGATCAAGTCAATAAAAGATGTTCAAGGGAACCCGACCATCAAGGAGGAGAAACAAACAAATAAAAGTCTGATTACTTTAGAGTACTCTTGAGTTGACCATCACCTGAAACTCGCCCAGAAATACCACCAACAGCATGCAGAAAACTTCCAGTGGATATCAATCCTCCAACGATAGCGGAAGTTAAATTATTGGTTAGTTGGGATTTGATTGATTTTTGGCAGGATTTCATCATCAGCTGACATTGGTTACAGAACGATCGGAAAGCCACCAGCGAGTATTGGACATCTGTTTCGTCCGATTTTGGAACTTCTCATCAGTACATACCCACTAGGGTTCAAATTTCTGGTTACAAACCGAGCCCACTGACCATGACTCCACTGAGACCTGATCCATACTGCGAATAATTTCAAACTAGAACGGAACAGATATTCAGTAATCCCTCCTAGTTTTCCAAAAGTTATCTAACCGATGTTAGCTCATAATGAAATCCTGTCGTGAAAGCAGAAGTCTTCAGTGCAGTTGAGCTACTGAACGCCGACCGGGAAGGGGCCACGGCCAGACAGAATTCCGATCTCCCGGAAGCACTGAGAACGGACCCAGAGATCTCAGTGGATATACTCACGCCATTATTGCAGAAAGTTTGGAAAGAAGGAAAGGTAGCTATTGATTAGAAGAAAGACTGGCTACCTCGCCAAGCCGCCGAAGAGCGACTTAGGCCTGTGCAAGAACCGGCATGGAATCATACTCTTGTCCTTGTCCACGCCAAGTAAAATACTAAGTCGCATCATTCTGGAGAGAATAAAAGATGCACTGGATAGAGAAATCCGCCACCCACCGGAACAAGCTGGATTCAGGAAAGACAAAGCATGTGCCGATCAAATTTCAACTATACGCATCGTCATCGTCATCGGACAAAGCATAGAACGGCGGTCAAACATACATCCCAATTTCATCGACAGACAGCGTTGACCACGAGGCAGTTTGGAAACTAATTCGACATTATGCAGTGCCGCAAATCTTTATCAACTTCGTTCAGTAGCGATGTGACAGTGGCAAGCGTCAAATGTTTCACAACGGAAAATCCAGCGAAGCATTTGAATTTAATGCAGGAGCATGGAAATGGTGCCTGTTGTCACCAATGATATTTCTAATTCTGATGGACTTGATTATGAGGAAGACTGTGGGGAGCGAGAGATGAGAATACGCTGGACCACCGACAAGAAGACTCCAGAAGATCTGAATTTCACGGATGATTTGTGTTTGATGCAACATAAACTCGAAGACCTACGGGCGAAAACCAACAGGCTGGTTGAAGAAACGGCCAGAGAAGATAGGACGGGAGTGGTGAAAATAGTCAACCAGCAACAAGAGGAACAACAACCGTCATAAATAGGCAAGTGCTTTCACTCTACGACTTGTTTGAAATTTCGTGACTACCTTTCCCTGTCTTCTATAACTCAACAGTCGCATAGAATTCTCCTAGCCACGTGGGCTATTCGGTTTGACTTTTCCCCAAGAATCTCCAGTTGCGTCGTGCCTTTCCTCTCTTCAGGAGGCGACACACTACTCCCCTTTTCATCTGGTCGGCTCTTTTTCAAAAGGGTTATCATGAGGTCGAAATTGTTGATGATCTTCTTGATATTTCCGTTCACCCACTTCCAATGCCCCTTCACCACTAACGGATGTAGTCAGTCTCATCAACCCGAAATCGGCCTTGCCACAACCGATGAATGAGAGAGTTGTTTTTGACTGACATGGATGGCTAAGTAAAATGGCAGAATTACCTGGTTGCTGTTGTCTTTCAGTGGCCCTGGCCCCTTTAAGACAAGGGCTAGCAAACCGCTGTCGTTTCGTATGTGGACTATTGTTGATGCATTCGGTTTGCCTTAAAGTTTCAAATAATGTAAATACGGTCTTCTATAATTTGTTTAAGTTTAATCCAACGATCATGTCCTTGGAAATAATTTGCCACTTGTCCACGACTACAGAAGCCACCATCAGTGAAAATTTTCCTATAGCCATGATGTAAATGGTTGATCCGCAGGTCGTCTGCCTACACTGATGGGACCCCAGTATAAAAATTCACTACATATTCGCTAACTGATTCTTGTTCTCCCTTTGCCTTATTATTCAGTGACCGCCGCACCCAGAAAAGAAAATAAGATGGCTAAGGCCTTTGAATTTATATATATATACAACACAAAAACAAGTCATCACTGAAAATAAATTTATTTTGTGAGGCAGCGGACTGTACATGAAAAGCCACTAAAACTTATGAAATTTCGCTGCTTGGTTCCAAGAAATAATTGACATCCAACAAAAAGTTTTTAAGCAAAGCATATTTGGCCACGTTCGTTTTAGCTAGAAGGAATTCTGAGATGAAGTTGAAAAGTCACAGCTCCTGAAAAATGTGTTTTTCTTTATCTCTCTGAACTCTTCTGCTGCACATCTCTCGGAGTACTAGGCAGCGTTCAGTCAGTTGAATTTT